CTATTTTAATAGACCTCTTAGATCGGTGAAGGGGTGTTCCATCTTTTGCCAACAAAGTGAGCAAGTACTCCCTGGCTCTTGACAAAAATGATTTCCTCTCTATCCAATTCAAAGCATCCAAGGGATCTTTGAATTCTTTAGCACGAGGATTGCGGGCATTCATTGTATCAAACAGCCTGTCAATCATCTATAAAGAAAAAGTGGCATCTAAATCACTAACACAAACACCATCATCACAGGGTTTCATTAGGTATCAAATAGTTGAAATCAATACTTTTTATCCACGGAATTATATTCAAAATATTCAGAGAATACTTGTTTCTAAACTCTATGTTCAAGGTGCAACCATGCAAGCATCAGTATTTTCCCATAGGACTGATTTGTATTATAACAAATTTCACACAGAGCTTTACCCCTCTAAAATTTGTGAAGGTATGTATAATATTTTGTACAAACATTCAAATTTATGAAGAATATATAATATCACTGGGCAGCACGGTGGTGCAACTGGTAGAGCTGCTGCCTCTCAGTGAGCAGGGTACCCTAATTCAAATCCCAGTCCAGGGGCCTTTCTGGATGGAGTTTGCATGTTCTCTCTGTGCATGCGTGGGTTTTCTCCAGGTACTCCAGTTTCCTCCCACAGACCAAAAACATGCATGTTAGACTGATTGGTAACTCTAAATTGAACCTAGGTGTGAATGAGAGAGTGAATGTTTGTCTCTATGTGGCCCTGTGATGGACTGGAGACCTGTTCAGGGTGTACCCTGCCTCTCGTACAGTGATTGCTGGATATGGACACCAAAATGGAAGCAGGTAAAAGATAATGGATGGATGGATAATAAAACAAAATATACTTGTTTCTATAATAAACAATTGCATTACCTCAATAAATTATGCTGTTGCCTCACAATCTTTAAACTGAGAGTACCAAAGATCCCTCAGAGTGCAGAGGGCCACTGACACGGAGCGACTCAAGGTTTGCGCAGCCAGGGACACCCTCATCTTGTGGTTCTCAAAGTACACATGCTTGTCTGTAATTTTATTGGCAGCATGCAGTCCATGTTTTTTTTTGCACATCATTGAGATGATTGATGTACTTCCAGTTGATCTGTCCAGTGGTTGTTGCAATTGGACTATACGCCTGCAGAGAAAGAATGAGTCACTGCTCAAACAAGTATAAACAGCTAAATGTTGATCATCACATACAGCCACATCTGTGCAAGTGAACAGACACACACAAATATACTTGCATAATAATATAACACTAATATAACTTGTACAAATACATATACAACAATCATTATTTACCTGCAACATATTACGTGTTAACTTTAGCATGTGGCATGCATCCATCATTACAAATACTGTCTCGCCAGTTACTGGATGTGGGAAACTGGTTTTGAGGGGCTTTCGTGGGTTTCCCTTCAGCTCACACCCAAGTTGGTTACACATGCTGATGTTGGAGGCATGCCCATCCATGGTTACACACACCAACCGAATTCCCCGTGCATGCAGCTCCTCCAAAGCATGACTGAGAAGGACCCTTTGTGTTTCTGGTGACAGAGACTTTGTCAGGTAGTATGCAATGGGAGCCTTCCAATGCCCTTGGAGGCCAACCACCATGAACACAAGAGCCTCAGTAGCAACCTCAGTCTCATTGTTTCCATCCCCCAGATCTATAAAACCAGACAGTGACTGTGTGTGTGGATTATATTGCACATGTTTTGTGATTGCCATTGCATCCAAAATTAGTGCAACAAATCCATATTTATCCTGGACTTCCTGGCATCTTCTCTCCAGCATATCCAGCATCATCTTGTTTAAACCAGGCTTGTCATCCACTGAACACAGCCACCTGTAAAAATTAGGAGGAGAAGTAGCTATTTTTTGCAACAAATATTTTTGGTACATTTGCAACAGTACTTTACAAGGAAAATAAATTAATAAATAAATCAGACAACATTAAGGCTACCTTTGCAATGTATGTGGATGTGGGAGGGGAAATTTTCGAGTTTCCCTGAGGTATTTGTATGCCTTTGGACCATGCAGATGGAGTGTGAGGGCAAACTCTCTGTGCTTCTTTGTGTACTCATGGCCCTGCTTCTCCATGAACTCTAGCTGAAGATCTGAAATTTTAAAAGTAAAAATTAACAACCTCTCTTTCAGATAATAGCATAGTATATAAAAAAAAGTGTGTAAAAACAAAATGTGAATTTTAAAATGCTAATTTCATCTTACCAGAGTAGAATTCAAGCCTTTCTTTGAGCTCCTCAGTAATGAGTTTTTTTTTTTTACTCAAATCCCCCAAAAGAGACTTTATTGTGGTCTTTGCTCTCTTTTCTCTGGCCATAGTGTTTTTCTTCTCCCGCTCCAGATGCTCCACTCTTGCCAAGGCTTCCTTAAGTTTAGCCGTGAGAGCAGTAAGAGAGGCTGGCAAGGCATAGCCAAGATCCTATAGTCAGAGGGATGAACTTCACATCACTTTGACACCACCGTAGTCCACATTCTGTCATATAGCAGTAGCACTGTGTCTTCAGTTGTGTGTATGGCTTTATTTGACTGTGTTTAATATGAGTGTCGAGAAACAAGTGAGATTTCAATATGGCCATGACCATCATGATAAAATAGAAATACTCACATAATTTGGTCAAGGTTGTGGGTGTGAGCTGCACGTTTCTGTGGCATCCTGAGAGGCCACAGAAAGACTGCATTCAGCTTTTGTTGATGTCCCTGTAGTCCTACATTTTTTAAGCTGAAATGGAAAAGCGTAATATGAACTTTACAGTATAAAACCTGTACATATAAACACATGGAGGTATTTCACCATGCCTGAGATTGACAATAAAATATGTAAATTTATGAACGCTAAAGGACTTATAATGATGCTCCTACTCTTTGAAGGTGAACCGGGAAGCTGAAAATTGATGGTACCACACCATCTCTCAGTCGGACTATCTGACCAGTTTTATTGAAGTCCTCCTGCTTGAAATGCTTACTGCACAGCACAGATGAATCACTTGCAGTGAATCCCTCCCTCCTCAAAGATACTTCCCATCTCTTCCTGCATCTTTTTCTTTTGGAAACCTTCAAAATGAAAACGGGAGATTTGTGTCAACACAAAAACATTTTAAAAATTGTACAAAGGAGGTCAATCTTCTTTTCTAACTACTTCCTATATTCTACCTATTTTTCATCTTTAAATTTCTTAGAACTTAAACAAAACTCCAATTCTGATGCATATTTTTTCATAATGAACCAAAGCTACTGAAATAGTGAATATGCTTGTTAGAAAAATATTCCTGTCATCAGATCTCAGTCAGCTTCATTGCAGCTGAACACCGTGTTACACTGAACATCACATCAGCTGGTGGACATAAATACAGTACAGTAATATTATATTCACAAAATACTAACAATAATATGTTCATCTTACTTGTGAAAAGTTATCCCCCGAGACCTGACGTCAACAGTCTGTCGATTAGAACAGAAATAAGCTGCGAAGTGCTGAGACATCTTCTGCTCTTCTGCTTTAAACAAATAAGAATTACCACCGCTTCAAGATGGCGGCGGTAAATCCCGCGCCACAGCAGCCAATGAGGCATCTAGCCTTTATATGATATCTATGGGTGAAACCATCAAACTCGTACATTTTCCATTTATTATACGGATTTTTCATTAATGACATGGATTTTTCATTAATTATACAGATTTTTCATTTTAAACTCTCTGCTTCAAAATTTATGTTCCGTCTCCAAATGGGAAATGGCACAAAAAATACAAAACCACAAGAGATCTAAACTGGACAGGAACACAACAGAACCCAGAGGGGGGTAAAGTACAGCTACACAGTATGTCAGTGTTCTACCTTATTAAATCTATAATATACTGATTTAGTTGTTTTATTAATCCTAAGAATATAGTAAAATGCTCATTTGCTTAGCTTCACAGGAAATAGTTAATAAAGGGGTCCCTCTGTCATCACAAATGTTGTCAGGTATGATATTCTGTTGGGCTTTTGATATTCTGTCTCAAATTCATTCTATTAAGAGAAAACTATTTAGTATTGTGTGTGACTGTTTGTAAATTGGCTGTGAAATTTAGAAAACGGTGCAGGGGCACCACCTGAAATCTTGCCTATGGTGCCAAATTGTCTAGGTCCGGCACTGTAACGTCCAACGAACTTCTTTTCATTAAACATTGTTACCTTATTGTGATAAATTCACACAAATTAATACTGTAATCGAGAGACAGTTCAGAATGAATGTTGGAGGAAATTATTCTCGCTTTATCTCACTAACTCGAAAGTAGCCACACTCTATGTCAGGAGATTTTTAACTGGTCTTTTACTTACAAGGTCAGATTTTCAGGACAGGTTACACAAACAGTAAGTACGCATTAAGCCCAGTCACAAGAATCTGCCACGAGCTGCGTGTGCAGCTTGTTTTTATACTCTTACCAGTTCAGCTGAGCTCGCAGACTCTGAGGCGACCTTGGAGCAACAGCTGCAGCCTCACCCAACTCCTCATGCATCTTTCTACTAACCCAAACATATGGCTCATGGGCAGAGTTAACATTCCCACGCACAGAAGCTAAAAACATCCATAAAACTTGACCAAAACTTCCCTGACAATGAAATCTCTCATTTTCACACACCAAAGATCATCATTTAAATGTTTTTACAGCGGTGCAAAGTGATTATTGAGTTCAGGACAAGGAGTTTTCTGGGCTGTGCTGTAAATGTTTCAGTTGTCTATATTCTACACAATATTTATTATCTCTTTAAAAACTTTTATTTTTGAATAGATCAGATGAAAGCCTTCCTTAAAAAGTATAGATTTTGACAAATAATGTGGAAAGTTTGAGGACATTGGTGCTTGCTCAACTGTTTTGGTGTCTGGTGAGGGTGAGCCAACCTCGTTCAGCTCAGATTTACTGGACGAATCTCAGATCAGCTCTTCATCCAGTGAAGCCTTAACTAATAAGAACAAACGTGTGGGTATCACAATATTTATTACAAGATAAAAACACAACGTTTGTGATACAAACAAGTAATTCAACTGGCTTGATAGTTTTGTTAAACCCTTGTAATAATACAGTGTATGATTCCTGGAATTTCAGCTTCTATAACAGCTGCTTCTTTACAGAAAGTTTTTTTTCCTGAACATTTATTTTAATAGAAACAAAAAGCACAAAGTAAAGCTCGATGATACAAGCAGGGATGAATGGACTGTTTCCCAACAGGGCCTTCAGATGTTGGATTAAACACCCAGAACAGGCCCAGACCTGCTTCGATGGAGGCGCCGAGTCCAGTTTTCTGCCTCAGTTGGATCAGGGAGGTCCCAACGGTCAGCACACTCCCTCAGCTGGTCTGTCCACACACCTCCTTGTGGTACTTCCTGAGCATCTCCAGCTGAGCCGAGCGCACCAGGATGTGGGGTCGAACTGACGCCAGCCTCTGACAGGCCTCCTCTGGTGTGCAGTTGTGTAACTGTGAAGAAGAAAACTCGGCATCAGAACCAGAAACCCCTCATCCTCCCTGAGTGAGCAGAACAAAGCACCTTCACCAGACTCAGCCGAAAAGACTCATGAACTGAAAACATGTTCGGCTGCGAGCAGCAGGAAGAGACTGATCATGGGTTCAATGGTCAGTTGAAGCAACAATAGTTTGTTATCTGAATGTCCAAATACTTCTTTAAAACGTCCTCAGTTGATCCAAAATGCTGCTGCCAGAGTCTTAACCGGAGTTAGTAGGAGAGATCATGTCTCTCCAGTTTTAGCTTCTCTCCATTGGCTCCCTGTCAAGTCCAGAATAGAATTCAAAATCTTACTTCTAACCTACAAAGCTGTCAACAACCTGGTTCCATCTTATATTACAGATCTTATTGTTCCATATTTTCCTAACAGAGCACTTCACTGTCAGACTGCAGGCTTACTCATGGTCCCTAAAGTTTCCAAAAGCAGAATGGGAGGCAGATCTTTCAGTTATCAGGCTATAGTTAGGGTTGACTTGTTATGCTGCTAAAGGCTTAGACTACTGGACGACAAATTGACCTCATTTCTTGAAACGATTTGTTAAAATTGAATAGTTTTCGGGCAGAACGGTGGTGCAGTTGGTAGAGCTGCTGCCTCTCAGCGAGCAGGTTACCCTGGTTCAAATCCTGGTCCGGGGCCCTGCCTGGGTGAAGTGTGCATGTTCTTTCTGTGCATGCGTGGGTTTTCTCCAGGTACTCCAGTTTCCTCCCACAGACCAAAAACATGCATGTTAGGCTGATTGGTAACTCTAAATTGTCTCTAGGTGTGAGTGAGACAGTGAATGGTTGTTTGTCTCTATGTGTCCCTGTGATGGATTGGAGACCTGTCCAGGATTTCCCCTGCCTCTCGCACAGTGATGGCTGGACATGGGCACCAGTGACCCCCACGACCCAAAAAGGAAGAAGCGGTTAAAGATAATGGATGAATAGCTGTCATTTGATACGATTTCTATCTTAACACGTGATTCTTGACCTGCCATTGTGTTTCTATTCCTACCAAACCCAGCTGGTCGAAGCAGATGACCACTGGTCCTGAGCCTGGTTCTGCTAAAGTTTCTGTCTATTCTGATTCTGATTCTTCTTCATGAGGGAGTTTTTCCTTGCCACTGTCGCCTTCATGCTTGTTCAAGATGAGAGTTCTGTGATGGAGTTAAACTCAAAGCAGTCTGCTCCTCAGATAAATAATGTTAAATTAATATTTATATATGAATGTTTCTGTTCAGTGCCCTGAGATGACTTCTGTTGTGACTTGGCGGTATATAAATAAACTGAATCAAACACTGACAACAAGAACAAGCAGTTTCTAACAAAAGGAGAATCAAGTCTCATTGTGGACCTGCTCGGACCTGATTCAGGCACAGACCAACAACTTTAATTAAACTGGTCACGTTGGGCTCTAACGTGTGTCTGAACTGTACGAGTTTTCATGTAGTGAGTCCAAAATACGTTCAATACAAAAACAACTGGACTTTATTTGTAACAGAAGACGTTTCGCTCCTCATCCGAGTGTCTTATCTCACTCACAAGTATTGGGTGGGATGACCCTCTGCCTGAAGACTTGCTTGGACGGTGAGAGAAGTGGAAGTCCAGTCTTCAGGTTGTGAAGGAGTTATTGATACCAAGATGTTATCACCCCCAAGGATTTGGGAAAATAATTAAAACAGAACTACACCACTTTTCAGATGCTAGTAGCATAGCATATGGTGCATGCTCCTATCTCAGATCTGAAAATGAGGAAGGTGAGATTCGTTGTGTTTTGATCATAGCTAAAGCCAAAGTTGCTCCTTTGAAAATCACAACAATTCCCCGTCTTGAGCTCTCAGCTGCAGTGGTTGCTGCTAGATTGAGTGTTTTGTTAAAATCAGAACTCAATATGAAGATAGACGCAGAGTTTTTCTGAACTGATTCACTATTAGTGTTGTCATGTATTAACAATGAGGCAATGTGGCAAATCGAGTCCAGGTAATAAGAGACAACACAAGTCCAAGTCAATGGAATCACACTGACACCACTAAAAATCCAGCGGATTATGTGTCGAGGGCTTTGTGCCTCTGAGATTTTGACAACTAACAGGCTAACGGGTCCTGAATTTTTGTGGAAGAGCGAGAGGAACAGGGAATTTAAATCATGCCCTGATCTGTTAGTTGGTGACCCAGAGGTTAAAATTGTTCAGACATTTGTGACAACAACAAATGACACTATAGATTTTCTGGAGCGTTTCACTAGATTTTCATCTTGGTCAACGCTGATTAAAGTAGTGGCCAGAATTAAAAGACTTGGATGCCAGGATAAATGTGATTCAAATGTGGTGAGTGTTGAAGAACGTTTAAATCAGTGGTGAGACTTGTACAAAAACATGCCTATGGCTTAGAGATGAAGTTACTTCAAAGAGGAGAGATCCTTTCACATTCTAGTCCCCTCTTCCATTTGAATCCATTTGTGGAAGATGATCTGTTACGTGTTGGGGGACGATTAAAGCATTCATCTCTTTGCGAGGATTTTAGTCATCCAATGATTTTGCCAAAGGATAGCCATATTACTAATCTCATTTTGTCCTACTGTCACACACACAGGTGTGTCATCAAGGCAGAGGTCAAACCCAAATGCAGCCTAGAGTAAATGGCTTTTGGATTATTGGCAGCAGCAGGCTGGTGTCTCAGCTGATTCATAAATGTGTGCAGTGTAGGAAGCTCAGACGGCCAGCAGAAGAACAGCTTATGGCTGAGCTTCCGAAAGAACGTTTGGAGGCATCTGCGCCATTTACTTATTGTGGTATGGATAGTTTTGGTCCTTTTGTTATTAAAAGGAACCGTAAAGAACACAAGAGGTATGGTTTGATACTCACATGTCTCTATTCACGTGCTGTTCATGTTGAAATGTTGGATGATTTATCCACAGACTCATTTATTAACAGTCTGCGTTGCTTTATTAGCATAAGGGGAGCTGTGCGGCAGATACATTGCGATCAAGGAAGACATTTTTTTGGAGCTAAAAATGAGTTGACACGATGCGACGGTAAACATCTGAAATCTTTTCTGGCAGAGAACCAATGTGACTTCATTTTTAATGCTCCATCTGCAAGTCATGCTGGTGGTGTTTGGGAGCGTCAGATACGCACCATTCGAAACGTGTTATTCATTCAACCTTTATTTAAACAGATAAATCACATTGAGCCTCGAAGACTCATTTACAAGTGAGACCTGTTTGGACAGACAAAACAGTGGTTAACTGGACACATGTAGGAGTTGGAGGCAGAAAAAATTCCTATCAGACTTTTTTCTTGGCTGAGAAAAACCCCTAATTTTGAAAAAACACCTCGCACAAACAAGCACATATTTACGTAGACATTCTGCAGAGCAGAGCATAAGAAGGAAGAGACGAGAGCGGTCAACAACGCCTACAGATGCTCTCGAGGTCACTGTAATCAGTCAATGTCCTCCGGTGAGATCCATAAACATTCTCGAGGTATGTCGAGAAATGGCCAAGAATAACCTCCTTTAGGAGATTTTGTAAGGGAAGATATCTACTTCTCAAAGCATTGGCGCCGTGTGCAGTTTTTGATTGAACAGTTTTGGAGTCGTTGGAAGAGAGAATACCTTCAGAATATTTCCATTCGACAAAAGTGGCGCGATCTTAAGCCCCCAGTATACTGCCGCGTACGTCCATATGCAGAGGTACGAGTGTCCCCCCCCCAGGGCATGTCCGTGCAAAGCTCAAATTTTTACGACCTCATACCCAGTGTCGCACAATAAACTGCCCAGCGACGGACTGTTTTGTATTTCCCTTCTTCATCTCTGATCTGGCCTTTTCTTTTGTTTTTTTGCCAAGAGGCAGTGATCTCTTCCTCCTCCGTTGATGCCATGACTGAAATGTTGAGAAATGAAGGAATTTGTAACAAGCGAATTCAACTCAGGTCCAGCGTGGCTGCGGGAGGGTCTGGAGAGTTCCTGGTGGGCTGGTCTGATGTGTGGGCTGTAGAGCCAGTGCTCTTTTTTTTGTTTTAGAACTTTTTATTAACATATAAACACAGAACACCGCTGCGGCGGAGGCTGCCAGCGCTCCCCCCCCCCCCCCCCCCGACCTGTCAATCAATACAGTAGGCGTGTCAGCAAATGACCAATCGGCGACCTCAATTTGTCCCGAAGGTAAAAGCCCCTTGTCTGTGAAGCTGCTCTGCAGCTGCTCGGGGTGTACACTGGAGTACAAAGTCTGAATCCTCTGCGTGCAGTACACGCATACGTACACGTGAACGGACGTACGCGGCAGTATACTGGAAGCTTTAAAGTTAACGATATGGTTCTAGTAAAGGAGGATCTTCTCCTAAGAAGTCAGTGGCAGTTGGGTCGCGTTGTGGAATCTGTGGAATTGGTAATCAGAGTCCCTACAACTAAGGATGTTCTAAAATAATTTACAGTCCGTTACAACAACATTAAAACAGAACACTCAGGCCTCTCTTGTAAATGAGTCCTCGAGGCTCAATAAGATGAACCTGTATAAATAAAGGTTGGATGAAAACACCACTACCGCTGCACCTGGGCTGCCTCGCCTCCACCCAGGGAGCGGGTGGTGGTAGCGTTTTCTTTTTTTTTTTGTGCATGAGTCGGATCCACAACATGTCCAATAATAAGTTGACAATTCCTGCTTTATAAGTCAACACCACAGACGGCCTGCGGTATGAAAACAATTAAAGAGACCACTTCCAGTTTGGGTCAGGACGCTGCTGGTATCTTGTGGTGAACATTACATTCTGTTGTGTTTACTCACGTTCATGTACTGACCCGTATGAGGTATGCAGCGGCGAGCGTGGCACTGCGGGAGCGCCCTGCCTTGCAGTGAACGTACACGCTGGTTCCCCGCTGTCTGTGCTGCAGGACAAACTCCACCCCTGAGTGGAGGTTCTCCAGGCTGGGGACCCCGGTGAGGTCCACGGTGCTGAGCCTGAGCTGCTCCACTCCTGCAGCGCGCCACTCCTGCTCCAACACACCATGAGACGCACACGTCACACTCATCCCTGCACTGTGCCCCCCCCCCCCCCCCCATTTTGATATAGGCTGATTCCCAGATTGACTTTGGGCTCTGTAGATGAATTGTTTTTCTTTAGGCTGCTCCCTTCTTCAGGGGTGCAGAGATATTTCACCTCATTCTTCTTCTTTCAGCTGTTCTCCAGATGTCTCCATAGCAAGTCCTCCTCCATCTCTCTCTGTCCTCACTCCAACTACCCCCATATCCTCTCTAACTGCATCCATGTATCTCCTCTTTGTCTTTTTCCTGACAGCTGCATTTATAACATCCTTATACCAATATACCCACTGTCCCTCCTCTGGACATGTCCAAACCACTGTCCCTCCTCTGGACGTGTCCAAACCACTGTCCCTCCTCTGGACATGTCCAAACCACTGTCCCTCCTCTGGACATGTCCAAACCACTGTCCATTCTCTGGACATGTCCAAACCACTGTCCCCCCTCTTGACATGTCCAAACCACTGTCCCCCCTCTGGACATGTCCAAACCACTGTCCCCCCTCTGGACATGTACAAACCACTGTGCCTCCTCTGGACATGTCCAAACTATTGTGCCTCCTCTGGAGATGTCCAAACCACTGTCCCCCTCTGGAGATGTCCAAACCACTGTCCCCCCTCTGAACATGTCCAAACACTGTCCCCCCTCTGGAGATGGGCAAACCACTGTCCCTCAACTGGACATGTCCAAACCACTGTCCCTCCACTGGACATGTCCAAACCATCAGTCTGGTCTCTCTAACTTTGTCTCCCAGTTGTTCAACCTGTGCTGTCCCTCTGATGATCTCATTCCTCACCTTCATCCTTGTCACTCCTCTTTTCTTGTGTTCTCTCATTAAAATGAGCAGCAGGTCTGTTTACTGGTTGATTAATTTATTCACACTTTATAATCAGAAGTCGGTCACTGAAGCAGATTGTTGACTGCAGGGAACTCAATGAATATTCATTCAAATGAGGACAAATTTGTCTTTTGAAATTTCATTATAAAAATAATCTTAAATCAACATAAAATGATTAAGAATAAGAATTTAGGGAGAAATAGTATGAAGAAATAAAGTAATTACTAAAACTGATGATTTAACGATGATGCAATCATCCATCAGGAATGGCTGCAGGGGGTGAATTCTCATAAAAAGGTTTTACACCAGATGTCCTTCCTGACTCAACCTGGACTCGAACCTGCAGCCTCGACCACCGACATGATCATGTAGATCAGGAAACTGTACATGATGCCTCTGTGCAGTTCAGGCAGGATTAAAGTCCCAGAATAATCTGTTGAGACGTTCAGCTCCAACATGAATGAATGAAACTCACCTCAGCTGAGTTGCAGAAGTATTTGGTTTCAAACTCCTCATTCATGGTGACAACGCCCCGAACGTTCTCCGTTTCCACCAGCTGCAACACAACAGACCAGTCGTGGTCACCTCAACAAACAGACATGGCAGCAGCTGTCTGCTTCATCTGAAGGATTCAAGTCATCGCTCATAATGTCCAAAGAATTAAATAAAAAAATCAGAGTAAGAAAGAAAATCTGCACAATTTATCTATTTACATATTGATGTTAACATGTCCTTAAAGCCAGAGTAGCTGTCAACATCTGCAGTTTGTAACTTGTTTTTACTGTAGCACTTTTTAAATAAAGCAACTACATTTACATCAGTCACCACCATACGGCTCACATCACTTATAATAAATTAACGCAATCATTAGTCAGGCTTATTATTTAATTAAATTCAATTAGAAAAACTTTATTTATCCGGGGGGGGGGGGGGGGGATAATAAAAAAAAAAAAAAGAAAATAAGAAAAATAACAAATAAAAAAATAATAAAAAAAAGAAATTGAAATGGAGGGGGGGGTGGGGGGGGGGGGAGGGGGTCAATTAAAAGAAGCACATAGAGCATACATGAAATAATACAAGATAAAAATACATAAATAGAAGAAAGTGCAATGGTCAGTGAGGTCTGTCCTTTTTGCAACTAAAGTCCTGTGGATGGGGCGATGCGTGTGCATGGGGGGGTGGGCGTATGAATGTAGGCCTGTCACAATAAACAGTAAATGAACTAATCGCTTGATAAATGGAAATTATTGACCTCGTTTTCATTTATCGGCTTTATCGTTTCTTCATGTCTCTCTCTTTCTACTGAAGACACTGGATGACAAAAGGCTCAACTCCGGTGCTCTTCACTGACCCCTCCCTTTCTCTTTTCTCTTTAAAATCTGTTTTAATCGTCCAGAATCATGTTTTTGGATCATTAAACGCAGCCAAGCTGAGAAGCTAAGACCTCAGGAAAAAACCTCCGTCTTGTCGAAGCTCCAAAATTCATGGTTGAAACCCGTGCCTTCGTGTAAAAAGTTTTTCTCTGCAAAAAAAAAAAAAAAAACAAACCCTGAGAACTTGTTTACTGATTTTTTTATTAAAAACGTTGTGCGAAAAATGCTACGCTAAAGAACTCAAACCACACAGAGCATCCGCCATTTTGAGAACTGAACAAAAGGAAAGAGAGACAGCCCAGGTCACGTCAAGAGGCCTACATCACTTTTTTTTTTTAGACGCGCTGCTCGCTCCCTCACTATCCATCCTTCTATTCAAACAGTCTTATACTGCCATCCGGTGGTCAAAAAAGGTACTACACATAAATTAACCAACATTTCTTCTTAAATTTGACAATGATTAATTATTGTCAAATTTCAAATATTATTGTTTATCGCAATAATTTCTGAGACAATCGCCCAGCAACATTTATTATTGTGACAGGCCTAAGTGAATGTGCATGTACTGGGAGAGGGGATATGTGTCTGTATGAATATTAAGAAGCAGGACTAGTTGTTTATGTCTGTATGAATATTAAGAAGCAGGACTAGTTGTTTA